ATCAAAATTTATTTTTCTCTTCGAAAATAAAGTAAATGATATTAAAAATATAATTTAATTTTTTCAAAAGAAAAAACAGAAAATCACACATGCATTCAATAATAAATTTTAATATATATATATATATATATAAAATTAAAAGCTGAAGTAAAATATACAAAACAAAAAAAACACTATCTTTCTAAAAACTGTTATAAGTAAAACCCTCAAAGATAATTGAAGAATTATTCTAAATTTTTATCATTTAGGATGTACACAATGCTACAAGAAGTAGTGCTACTTTCTAACAGTTACAAAAATAGGTTTAAAAAATTATATTATTTTTTTCCAAAACTTATTCAAATATTAATTTATTATATGGAAAATAAAAAATTCATATGATATATATATATATATATATATATATATATATATATATATATATATATATATATTAAAAAATTGATATAAAATATATATCAATTATTACTATTTTTAATATAATTTTTTTAATTTACTTCTGTAATTATCTTTTCAAAGTAGAGATTAGAATTAATAGTAGCATCTTAAATGTAATAATGTTTAATTTTTAAGTATGTATTTTGGTATTATGTAATTAATTTTTTTCCTAAGATATAGAATTTTTACCAAGACAATACAATAAAGTCTAATCTTGCACCAAATAACATTCATCAACAAGTGTTTTTAACCATAGTGCTTCTTTAGTTGTTTTAAAAATCTACTTCAAATATTTAAAGAACTTTAGTAGATTATAAAGGGGACTTATAATCTAAAACATTTCCAATTATTATAAAAGCATAATATTTAGATTTTTTTTTTCTTTGGGTCTAAGTTCCTATCAATATCAATAAATCTTATAAATTTATTCTTTTTAATATTTTATGTTGCAAATAATTATAGTATCTTTTAAATAAAAAAATATTTATTTTATTTATTTTTAATACTTCTTCTTATTTTAACTATTTAAAATGGTATTTATTTGATTATTTATTTATCTATTTATAATTAATATAAGATATTATTAAAATCTCTTTTAAAATATTTATTTTATTAAATAATATATATTATTATAAAATGAATTTAAAAATTTGGATTTATATTTTCTACTAATATAAAAAATTTAAATATTTTTTCTTTCTTCTAACCTTCTTTTCTACTATAATTTTTCTTCTTTAAATAAAAATGATATCTTTTAGTATTGCTTCATTATAAACATTTATATCTTTGCAAAATAACAATACATAAAAAACATATATTTATATTTCTATATATAATTCTTCAACTTTTGAAGCAAATTATGTAGGCTTCTATGTATCTATGTGTATAAAATCCAACATACCTTTAATATAACCAATAATAATTTTAAAACTTATTTTTTGATGTTATTTAAATATATATAATTAAACTTGCAAGAATATTTTAGCTTAAAAAATTGACACTTGTGGAATTTGATAAATCTTTTTTCATTCATATAATTGAATTGTGCATGTAAAAATTGAGGTATATCTACTAAAAATATTTTTTAATTAGATTCAATGATAGCCTCATTTGTGAAAAAATTTCTTGTAAACTCATATAAATTCTCAATTCTCTTATTTGTCATTATTTATTAAAAATATATATTTATTCCAATAATTATTTATATGATTAAGTAGAAGTAGATAAAAATAAATTAATTTCATAATATCTTATAGAAAAGCTTCCTAGAAGCTACATAGATATTGCTTTGACTTTACACATGTTTGTAGTTAATTGATAGGCTAGAAACTTGGTCAAGAAGTTAGCCACATGACACATATGTTAATAACTTGTGGAACAAGCTAACTATTTGGTGCATATATAGACAACTTACTTTTCTAATTAAGTCATGTATCGAGCAAAGTCACCACGTGTTGGAAGTCCTATAAAATATTGTCATGTATCTCTTAGTTAAAAAGTATACATGGAAGTAAGAGTGAAGCCTTCTTCACTCTTGTCAATGCCTCTCTAGTCCCTAATCTTATATCAAGCCTTTCTAGTCTTCTTATCTTTGACAAGAGTAATTATAGTTCAATATATTACCATCTTTGAGTGATTCCTTAATCTTTTTGAGTAACATAAAAGTATACTAAGATTTTTTTTCTTTGAAATTCATGTCTTTGATATTATTATATAAATATTTTTAGAAATTTTTTAAAAATTACCTTCTATTGTTAATTCAAAATCAACCAAGTCTTTGGCATTTAAAGATTCAAGTTCTTTTATAAATTAAAAAAATATCAAACATCAACTAATATTTTTTATATTCTATTAAATATTTTGATATAAATTATACCAAATTTTATGATTTTATATGAAAAATATTTTCTATTAATAAAATATCATTATTATATAGAATATATATATGAAATAATTATAAAAATTCTATATATATATATATAATTTTATATTTTCTTTTGAAATAATCAAATTTTTTATATTATATCTTTTTTCTATTTTATTGTTCCACTTAAATAATTATTTATAATATAAAAACTTTTATATAGTTCTTTTATCATTTCTTAAAATAAAAAAATAATAGTCACTTCTTTAAATTTTAACATATCTTTTTTATATTACATAATGCTAAAGAAAATACTCAAATGATAGAAGAAACAAAGTCAAATGTATTAAATGTAGTATATTTTAATTTTGCATTAATACTTTACAACTTATAGAAAATCTTATTAAAGATATTTACATAATATAGCATATTTATACCCTCTTTTATGTAAAAAAATATATATTTATTAATTTAGATATACATGCAATTGAGGTTCTATTAAACCAAATATTAAAGTTGCTAAAACCATCATTGATGATTTAAAACATATTCTAAACATCCACCAAATAAGATTTATATTATGATATAAAAGACAATGCATCATATTTCTCTTTACCTTGCAAATCATCTTTCTACTCCCCCTTTCCTTCTTTAATCTTCTTCTCAAAACTTTTTTGAAGTCAATAGAATATATGGAGAGTGAATTTGTTAAAATATAAAAATATATATATAATCAAAAAATATCATATATTTCTATTAAATAATAAAATTATTAAATTAATTTTTAAAACTAATTTATACACTATGATTTTATTGTATAATATACTTAACAAATTAAATGAATATTGGAACTATGGCCAATCTTATAATAATATAATCCAAATGAAAAACTTAAATAAATATAATATTTAAATATTTAAATATTTTCTTATATTTTATAATCAAATCTTAAATATTTGATTTTTATTTTGATAATATAGAAGTATTAATGAATATTTTTATATTTTTATAATTAAAACTAAATTAAAGATATTTATGGAATTTCTTTATAATTAAATAGATATTATAATTAATATTTAAGATTTTTTTAAAAAATAATCATTTATTGATAATACTTCTACATTTAAAATACAACATAGTTCAATTTTTAATACTATTACTAATTAATAGCATCACATTAAATGACCAAAGATAGATATAAGGAATTTTTAATGAGTATATTTTTTTTGTGTAAAATAAGATATATTCTTATCATCTTTTAATTCTTTATTTTCATAATTTTATTAAATCAAAAAATTAATTTTAATATAGATCTTATAAAATCATAGAATAGCAATTCTAATTTTAATTATAAAATATTTTAACACAAAATTTAGATTAATAATGTTTAAATTAAAGACTTTAATTGTATGCAATTTTTCAAGATACAAAGCATTAAAAGATAAAAATTTGAATTACTTTTAAATCATATTATGATATTAAGTTTAAAATAAATCAATTCTTTTTATAATAATGGCATTGTATCAAGAACATACATCACAAAGAATCAAGAGGTCAATTCATTCTTGTGTCATTAAAAAGAGTAGAAAATCAATCCAAGATGGTATAATATTAAGGCTAAAATTGCTATTACCAAAGATAAGAAGACTAGAGACTTTTGAAACAATGCTAAGAACAAAAAAGGCATTGACAAGAGTAAAAAAAGCTTCATTCTTGCCTCCATATATACTAATTAGGAGCTATGTATTGACGTTCAATAGAACTTTCAACACATGTCCAACTTATGAAACATATGTCTAATTATAGGATAAGTTTCTTACATACAAGCCACATTGCTAATTTATATTACAAGTTGCCAATATGTGTAGTACATGGCTAATTTGTTGGCCAAAGTTTCAACCTATCAATTACCTAAAATACTTATAAAGTCAAATTTGCATTTATAAAGCTTCTAAGAAGCTTTTCTACAATATATTATCAAATCTACTTACTTTTAACTTCTACTTAATTTTTATTATTTAACTAATTATGTATGTCTACAATACATTGGTATTAAATTTATTATTCTAAAATATTTATTGCATAATAATTTTACTTATTATAATTATGTAAATTATAAAAATAATATTTTAATATAATCTAGATAACTATCAAAGATTTAAATAGAAATAATGCTTTAAAAAATATTAAACTATATAATTAAGTTGGAATTTATTAATTATTAATAAATTAAAAATATTAAAGAAATAAAGATTTAAAATATGATTAAATTAAATAATAAAATTTATCAATTTTTTATCAATATCTTTTAGCAATATAATAAAAAATATATATATTTATGTTTTCTTTATAAAAATAATATTTATTTTAAATTTTTTAATTATAATTTTTTTATAATTTTTTTATAATCTTGTGTATTCTATAAAAATAAAAATTATTTGTGATAGAAAATATTTTAAAGAACTTAATAATTTCTTAATACATAATTTCTTTATATAAAGAATTTTATATCTATCTATTTCTACATAAAATTTGACAATAAAATTACTTTTAAGGAAATGTCTTAGTTTCTTGCAATGTGATATAAAGTAGAATAATAATGAAAAAAAAATGAAATAATAATAATAATAATAATAATAATAGTAATAATAATAATTAGTATATATAAAAACGATTTTTAATATTTCAATTTATTTTGTAAAATTCAAAGCAGTAGGATGTGAAATACCAGAATAGTTACCTACGCAGCTATTTACATTTCAATCAAAAAATACAGTGACATATACAAATAGAAACTAAAAGATGTAAATCTAGTGGTTTTTTTTAAAAAAAGAATAAATTAAAATAAGTTGTAATGAAGAGACTAAGTTCTAGTTGTTTTTCATCCATATGATTGAATGGACCAATCGTGTTCCACATCCATGTTCCTCATCTTCAGATTGTCCACGACATCATGTCTTCCACCCGAACCCGAGTATCTCCCGTATACACCGTGCTCTGCGAACCGGCAGCAGTCCATAATTCAGAACCGGATAGACGTACCCGGATATCCATCCTACTTCATACCCGGGGGCAGAGATGCACGGAGAATCTAGCCGCGCCCGACATGGAGGTGAAACAAAGGGAATGGTAGATGCAAGGAGGCTTGTGGCCCGCAGAGGGTCCGAAGGGTTTCCATGTGAAGACCAACTCCAGGTGATCCACTTGGCAAAGGAACCCCGTCCACATGTGGCACGCGGAAGCCTCGACGCATAGAGGGAGAGAGAGGGGGAGAGAGGGGGGGAGAGATTTCCTTCGTCACTGCAAAACGAACTGACGTTGCGACGCCTGAAAACTGGGGATCGAGCAGCGCCGTGGTGGATCGCAACTGGGATCGCAAGGCTCTAGACACACAATCATACTATACATCTCTCGGCAGCTGGAGCAGGTGATGGTCCGTGGTGAGGCTCGCGAGAGTATGGGATCTTCCCGCGGTTAGGTCCAGCATGTGCTGAAGCTTCACCAGACCGAAAATCCTAATGCTATCCATCGACCGACCAGCTCCCATGGAGAATCGGACGTGATCTTACTCATGTTGTAAAGCGGATTGCAGGCGGAGAGCGCACTGGCAGTGAACAAAATCAGCATCGCATGTGAGCGGGAGACACTGGCAGTGTAACAGCTCGTTTGCTGTGTTCCGGATATAATAGTTTGGAGATAAAACACACAAAAGATGGGTTGCGAAGGTTGGAGAAAGAGCTGTACAGAGTAGTGAGCAGGTGAACCTATAATGAAAGGCCTGAAAATTGCGTTGAAACTCCAGGTACCGTCCGCAGTCTGAGGTCCGCAGAGGAGCTGAGCTGGAAGAGGATCTGGAATGCGGAAACCAGTTGCCGAAGCTGCGCCGGGCGCCCGTTATTATATCGGGGAAAGAGAGGCCGGATTGTCAAATGAAAAAGAGCCACTCACTCGACTGAGTCGACTGGTTATTAGACTAGAGTTGGGTAAGCTCCTGAGACACTGAACTTGCAGTGCCGGGGTTCAGACATGGCGGGTTCAATTGGGTTGCAACTGTGCTCGGCTGTCGAGGAGCGGGAGGAGCGAGCTTTGGTGCCCGTGCCCCGAGAATTCCAGTCCAGGGCTTTGATCAAATCCCGCGAGCAGGTGCGTTGGCTGGACCCGAAATTGTGATTTCCCTTGCAGAAATATGTTAATCAGCGGTTGAAGTGGGCGAATCAATTGGTGTGAATTCGTGCTACAGAGTGGCAATTCAGTTTGAGGAGACAGCTGGGTCTCGATGATTGAAGTCGTAAAACTCACCGTAGCGGCCGGTTGTGGGTAGTGAAAAAAAAATTAGTGGCAATCTTCTGTGGACGAATTAGCCCGAATGGACTTTACATTGAATACCCCACGGGAGGAGGTCCGCTGGTAACAGTTTGTCTGCATCACTCTGCTAAAGAAATTCAGCGTGCTTGTGGTCCAGCAACACTGTACAGCGGGGTTGTGATTCTTGGGTTTTTGGGTTTTAATTTTCATACACTTCATCAGTTTTGGTTCATGAGTCTGTTTTCAATTTGCAAGACTTGAGAACTTCGAGTTTGAAAAATAGGCGTCGGTTTAACACAACTGCGCAATTCGAACGGTGAACGACCAGGTCGAGCTTGTTGAGGTAGCACACAGCAGTCACTAGAATTGCGAGTTGATGGTTTGAACTAAAATCAAACAAACTCGGAACACGTCAGTCATATCCAAGCGATCCGCCACTCAGCTTTCGAACCGGCGCGGTAGTTTTCCATTGGAATTGAAGCCATCGATCGGTTAGAGCATGTTTGACAAATTTTAATCGAGGGTCGATCACTGTTCTGTTTTGTGGTGCAGTATGAGGAGATGTACAAGCAATCGATTCAGGATCCTTCGAGATTCTGGGGGAAGATTGCGAGCCAGTTCTATTGGCATCGCATGTGGGACACTTCTAAGCCCGTCTTCCGCTCCAACTTTGACATCCGTCAAGGGCCCATCTTCAACGAGTGGTTCAAGGGGGGGTTCACGAACATCTGCTACAATGCGCTAGACAAGCACGTCAACGAAGGCCGGGGCGAGCAGGTTGCAATGCTGTGGGAAGGCAACGACGTCGGCCACGAAATGCGTCTCACCTACAGCGACGTGCTTCAGAAGACGTGCCAGCTCGCCAATTACCTTCGCAAGCGGGGAGTGAAGAAGGGCGACCGCGTGTGCATCTACATGCCTATGGTGCCCGAGCTTCCCATCGCCATGCTCGCTTGCGCCAGAATCGGAGCCATCCATTCTGTCATATTCGGGGGCTTCAGTGCAGAGTCGCTGGCAGGCCGGATTTTGGACTGCAAGTCCGACGTGCTGCTCTCCTGCTCGGCTGTGCAGCGTGGGGCGAAGGTTTTGAACTTGAAGGTCATTGTCGACGAGGCGCTGCAGCTTTGCCTGGAGAAAGAGAGCTTCCAGCCAGGAACTGTCTTGATTTACGACAACAAGAATGCTGTACCGAGGAGCAAGGTGAAGTGGGTTGCAGGGCGAGATTTGTGGTGGCAAGACGAGGTGCGGTCGTGCAGCACCGTTGCGCCCGTTGAATGGATGGAGGCTGAGGATCCTCTCTTCCTCTTGTACACTAGTGGCTCCACCGGCAAGCCTAAGGGAGTTCTGCACACAATCGGTGGCTACATGGTGTATGCGGCGACCTCATTCGAATATGTCTTCGACTACCAACCCGGTGACATCTTCTGGTAATTTGATGTTCAATCTTCGCGAATGCTCTTTTTCTTGATGAACTCCAGAGATGACAATCAGTGAGGCATGATTACTGATTGTTCGTGTTGCAGGTGTACAGCAGACTGCGGATGGATCACCGGCCACACGTACATTTGCTATGGTCCCTTGCTGAACGGCGCCACGCAAGTTGTCTTTGAAGGTGTGCCAACGTACCCAAGCCCCAGCAGATGGTGGGAGATTATTGAGAAATACAAAGTGTCGATCTTCTACACCGCGCCGACTGCCATTCGGTCCTTGGAAGCGCTCGGCGACAAACACGTGACGAAGCATAATCTGTCCAGCCTTCGAGTTCTGGGCACGGTTGGAGAAGCCATCAACGCAAAGGCATGGCACTGGTACCACCGCGTGGTCGGGCAGGGTAGGTGCCCAATCGTCGACACATGGTGGCAGACAGAAACCGGAGGAATCATGATCACGCCCTTGCCGGGCGCTTGGTCTCTCAAGCCAGGCTCCGCAACGCTGCCATTCTTCGGAGTGCAGCCGGTTGTGTTGGATCAGGACGGCAAGGAACAAGATGGTCCATGCTCAGGATACCTTTGCATCAAGGGAGCGTGGCCAGGAATGGCCCGCACCTTGTATGGCGACCACAAGAGGTTCGCTGAGACGTACTTCACGACATGGCCCGGGTTGTATGTCACCGGCGATGGCTGCCAACGCGAAGCCAACGGCTACATCACCCTCACGGGCCGTGTGGACGATGTCGTGAACGTCAGTGGCCATAGGATCAGTATTGGTGAAGTGGAATCAGCACTCACTTCTCACAAATTGTGCGCTGAGACAGCTGCTGTTGCCTTCGACCACGATGTACGTTCAACAAATTAGCCTCGGTCCAATCCTTCTAAATGCTGTGTATGTTTTTGGCGATGCGCCAGTTCTGTGATGGTTCTCTGACTCGGGAGAATGGGTTGATCGTGCAGGTTAAGGGACAAGGGATCTACGCGTTCGTGACCCTGGTGGAGGGCGCTAAACCATCGGAACAGCTCAAGAATGAGATCAAGGCTGCTGTCAGAAAAGAGATTGGATCTTTTGCGGTTCCAGACGTGATCCAGTGGGCTCCTGGACTACCGAAGACACGCAGTGGGAAGATTATGCGCCGGATTCTGCGAAAGATTGCAGCGAATCAGTTTGATGAGCTGGTGAGTTTGTTTTTCTGGGATGTTTTACCAGCACATGGCATGAACGTGTGTCTATCTGCGTCGCTTGTCTCCTTAAATTCGAAAGATAGGCAATGTCTAGAAACATGTATTGTAATTCTGAGTGATGCTTGTGCAGGGTGATGTGAGCTCGCTGGCAGACCCGGCTGTGGTGGAGCAGCTCGTGGAGGGGAAGCGTGGCGGCGCTCGGATCTCTAAGCTCTGAGCATACTTAGAAGCTTAGACTGTACACATTGAATTGGTGAAATGTTCAGTATCAAATATTGAATTTCATCTCACCACTTAGAATAAGTCACCGAATAGTGTTCTTTCCTGTCGAGTTTCAAGTAGAGCTCTTGAGAAGCCCTTTTTTAGAACGAAGAAGACGAACAATAAGTTTGCTGTTTCAAAATATGTGTCAACGGTCTGAATCCTTGGCTATGGAATTCACCACTGTACATTGGGAAACGACATTGAAGACAAAATTACACCAGAACATTGTGTATAACTACGTCGTTTTACTTGTGCTGTCGTTCACTTCTCAATACACAACTCGGTGTGCTTGCTACGTCGACACTCAAAATTTCTCGAGTTAGACCTCGGCTATGCCCTTACTTTAGTTGTCCTCGTACCTGTGTTGGTAGATCGGGTCTTAAAAGTGTGCCTTCTCAGGACTTAAATGAGAATCCTCAACATTTTGGTCAATGGTAACTCAGATCACGTGGAATTTGTTGCCTAAACGATATTCGCAATCGATTCTTCTCTCTTCATGGACATTATCATAAGATCCCCCAAGATCGCCTGGGATCTCCTATGCAGATTTTCAGTCCTGAAGACCGAGAGGTTCTGCAACAATCACCCACTGCATAACTTGACCCCTGCCTCGTTCCGTGTGGTGGCAGATTTCGGCTGGCTGGGCCCCCCTGACTGATGACGAACTCGTCAATAGCATAGACAGACCGCAGACCCCATCTCGTAATGCAACAAAGCCGCAAAAAGCATTAGAAGCAGCGCGTATGTACCATCGTCGAACGCAGGACCACCCCGAGCATTTTTGTGAAGCAAAATCCGCTGATGGGTGAGGTTGTCGAGTGGACCCCTTACGCTGTGAGAGCCGGCATTGCGGCTCAGACACGGAATGCTATCTTCCACACACACAGATCTGCTCTTGTTCCTTGCGGCGCATACCGAAGCAATGGTCAGGGTGGGCTTTCCCCAGCAGGTGACGACGATGACGTGGATGCGAAATCACGATGACGTGGACTAGCTACTGCGACGTCTGCATCTTGGACAGGCCCGCCAACGGGGCAGTTTCTAAGCCTACTAAAAATTAGGAATATTATTTATTATTAATAGGTTGCTTCTAATTGTGATAGTTTGACTTATAATACTTCTAAATCTTTATTTGATGTTCAAATAATGCAATCAACCTCTCTAATGTCATTTTTCTTAATATGCATTTTTGAGTGTCTACTTTGAGTATCAAATCATATTTTGAAAACCTTTTTATTTTGAAACCCTAAACCCTAAACTCTAAAATCTGGTTACCTTTTTATTTTCATGAACCAAAGTAAATATTTAGTGTGTATATATATATATATATATATATATATTCAACACCATCTTTAGAAGCAGTGCATTCTACATTCTGATTTTTTTCTCTTTCTATGATATAGTTTTCATAACATTTTGTATTGCTTGGTTATCTCTGAATGTATTTTTGAACTTAAGCATTCTTTAATACACTAAATTGAATCATTGGTAATTAGGATCTTAATTCTTATAATCAATAGTTCAGATTTAGTTCTTACAATTAATAGTTAGAACCCTAATTCTTATTATTCATATGTTAAATATTAGTTGTCATGATAATTAATTATTATCCAAGTTCTTATGATAATAATATTAAGATCCTAATTTTTTATAATTGACTCAATAAAAGGTGTTAGAGTAAGAGAATTAATCAACAAAAAAAAGTTCTAAAAGAAAGTTAAAAGAATCAATCAAGATTTCAAGGATGAATTTCAATTTTATGCCCTTCTAATAATGCAATTAATTTTCTTTGGTGAAAAGTCATTTCTATCATATTTTTAGTATTTGTTCTAAGTTATCTTAGTTTAAAATGTTGGTTTGAAGAGTAGACCAAACATAGTTGTCAATTTTGGAACTATAGTGATTGGTATAATATTTTAGTTGTATATTATAGACCATTCTATTTTATTAATGTTTTGAGTTATACTTTGATAAGTGTATACCTTAGTCTTAGTAAGAGGATATTTTGTCTTACGTCATTAAGTATTATATGATTGTGTAGTAAAATACAAGCATATTAGTTTTGAAACATATAAAGAATAAGATTCAAAATTTTGTAACATACATAAAAAATGAAGTTAGTGATTTATTAGACAATTGCTTTAGACTTTAAAGAATAAAAGTATATATTTATTATTTATTTATTTTCATTAAAAAAAAACACCAAACTTGATCTTACATCAAAAGAGATTGAATTTGAGGTTGTAAACTTGTATTTTATTTTTCTATGAAAATGTTGTATTAGAAGTGGCTATTATTTGTCATATAAATTATTTCACAATTAACAATGTCCATGCTCATTTATAATACTTTAGACAAATGAAAGCCTATTTTTTGTGGTGTAGCTGCTAATTTTTATCATTATGAGTATTGTAGAGATGTTTATGGAATAAAGTGCACAATTTTGGCATCTTTGCAAAGGTTGCAATATGTCATAGAATCTTTTAAGGAGTTACTATTGAATCTAATTTTTGCAAAGGTGATTCTTGCTTTTGCTATCTACTATTAGATCTTCAATTAATTGTGACTTCTATTATATTATAACTATTGCAATTAGTCATTAATAATAAAAATAAATAAAATCTTGTAAAGAAGTTATGACTATTGTCATTAATAATTTTCAATTAAAAAGATTTTGATAACATCACAAATATATGTTGAGCTAATCTGTATGGTTTATTTACTTGCAAAAGATTATATTTTTTATGATTAAGTAATGGTATCTTAGATATTAAGTAATTAGAACAAATCATATTGATCTAGTGTTTTTTGTATTTGGTTGGAATTAACCTATGCCTTGTTCCTGGATTGTATTGTAAAAATTTCGATATAAACTATTAAATTTTATATTTTTGTATTTGACCTTCTCAACATTTTGTATATGTCACTTAGTTTAGTTAGAACAAGTACAATTTTTATTGTTCTTTGTAATGAATAAATGTTGTTGGAATATGTAGAAGTACATAATGATTAAGTATAATATTTTTAACTTTTAAAACTTATAATATTTGATTATAAAAAATGAAATTGTACATGTATTAGAACTCTTTAACAATAATTTGAAACATATTTTATAAGATAATATAAAATCATTTAATGATATTAGGTTCTAAAAACATTAAGTTATATTCTGGTTTTTAACATTTTCATCTCTAGGGAATGATAATATATTTGCAATCACAACTATTGTTAGGTAAGTTTTTCTTTAATTTAATGATAATTTTTATGAGTATATATATCTATATATATATATATATATACACACACAAAGGTTTGTAATGTGCAATTTTGTATTAAAGTTTCTTTCTAGATGACTAAAACTTAATTGGATTTGACTAAAGTTTGGATTTGGTTATTATTTTTAGATATATTTATACCAAATTCATTTGAATCAATTTCATCTCTAATTCAAAGAGCATCTATTGTTGGTATAGACTTGGTGAAGATTTTTATGGTTATATATAAAAACAAATGTGATTTTTAACGTTTTTCAAAAACATGTAGAAAGATTTTTAAAAGATTTTAATTAATTTCTAAAAATATTGAATCACAAACCCAATATTATCAACAAAAATATAAACATTGGCAAATGTGCACTTGGTGCATCACACCTTATTTGCAACAGAAATGGATAGATGAAGTTTATTACTTCAAACTGAACATCATTGTCATTAATTTATATGCATAGAAAATCCATCTTCATCATTTAATATGAGAATCTTTTTTAATGTTTTCCTCAATTTTATTACTAATACTTGAGAAGAATCTACAACATTAATGCTTCATTGTGGAATAGAAAAATCATCATAATTAAATGCCTTACATATTAAATGTACTAAAAGAATTTTTTTCAATAGTATAAGATAAGTACTTACTTTCAATCATGAGGCATATTGACCCTATGTGTTTAAAAAAATAATTTCATAGCCACCCACAGTATAACACAATAATGAAGCAAATCTTCTCGCCACTCTTATAAGAAAAAACATCCTTTGATAAATTCCAACATGATGTTTTCTAATTGAATATTTTATTGCCAAATGTTATTTAATTGAATACCTGTCATTGCGAAATGTTGCTCAGCAACGGGTTTTTGTGGACTTTGCTGGTGTAGAATGACACCTTCGAGTTGAACAAATCCATGGTCATCGTTCGTTTTAGAGTTAATAGACGCTGATTGCGAAGTTCAACTCGAGCTCGAAATACTGAGCTTGGAATAAAGAATGAGAGTTTTCAGAATGAGTCGGAAAGTGGTAAGACTAGCTGAAATCGATTACAGAAGACTGAATTGCTCGGCCTAACTCTCAATCATCAAAGTGAAGTCCATTTTCACGCCTCACTCTTGAGATTTGTGCACTGGATCGCATCAGCTCTTTTGAAGTTACTTTGCATCTTCAAGTGCCTGCACCAACAAGACGTGCATTTTGGGTAACATGCTAAATTTTTGCTCTTCTCAGGTTTGCAACAGACCCGAATCAAAACTGCTTCCTAAAAGGCAGATGGGGCAACTAGTTTCATGGTATGAAATAGTCGTTTCACGTGAATTTGGCCAAACTGTGATAATCTGCAAGGGCGTAGATCATTAGTGATAAGGTGAAGGTCAAAACTATGGAATGCATTTTGTACTTGCTTCAAGGCAAATTAAGTGACGAGTTGAAGGGCAGAATCTTAACTTTTAATGTGTAGTTAAATTTCAAAGATAATGTATCAGTGTGGTGTCACAGTTGGATTGAAACGCTATTAATTTGACATGGATTGGAGAGGGGCCACTTTTAGTTGATAGCAGTACTATTCTTAACCAGAAAAGAAAGAATGCCACTGAGAGAACTCCTTTCACTGATTGATACTAATTATTAGTTACATATGTTGGACTCAAAAAGAACTGAGTGAGTATTTTCACTTTATATTTGTAATGTTGAATACATAGTCCTATTTTTAAATTCAAAGCTTTCATCAACTATCATCTTTATTTTAACTTCTAAAAAATACTAAGTACTAAAATAGTAGTATGAAAATAAGATTTGTTTTTGATAAGTATAAATAAAGGTCTAATTTATAAGTTGTAATTAGATAATGAAACCTTGATGAATGTAAAGCATTTTTTAAAAGAGAAGATTTTTGGATGCCAAGATCAAATTTAATTTAAGGTGTGTTCTTGGTATTATAAAAAAAGATTTTTATAACTTAATTAAACTT